GGAGGAGGAGGAGGAGGCGGAGGGTGAGGGGGAATGAGCAGGAGGAGGAAGAGGAGGAGGAGGAGGAGATGGAGGAGGAGGAGGAGGAGGACCAGTTAAAACCCAAGAGTCATCAACGATGTTGGAATGAACCCTCCCTCCCAGCTCCCTTTTCGTAGGCCCCTACAACGTCTCACATCCATTGTGGGAACTGCCCCGTTGGAAGACAACAGTTTGAAGACCCTGAAGCGTGCCAAAACATTATTCTCGGGATTTCAACGCCACTTATTAACCTGACTGCTGCGCCTTTCCGATCCAGAATCGTGCCAGAATGCCATTTTTGGGACTTTAACGCAGCGAATCAACCTAACTGTTGCGCCCGGCTGATCCAGAATCCTTCCAAGACACCATGTCTGGTTCGTTGGTCATGGGGAAGCAATGAAACTCTTGCAGAAGTATACAAAGGAATTTGCGCAGCGCTAAGGCGAGAGCCGCATTCTGAAAAGGAGCCGCCCTCAATCCGTGAAGCTCTTGCAAGCGTTTTAAACGAATGTGCGCGGCGCTAAGGCGAGAACCACATATTGAAAGCCACCCGCCTTCGATCCGCGAAACTCTTGCAACTGTTTAAAATGAATGTGCGCGGCGCTGCGGCGAGAGCCACATTTTGAAATCCACCCGCCCTCAATCCGTGAAGCTCTTGCAAATGTTTATGTGCGCGGCGCTAAGGCGAGAGACATATTTTGAAAACCACCCGCCTTCAATCCGTTAAACTCTTGCTAATGGTTAAAACGAATGTGCGCGGCGCTATGGCGATGGCCACATTTTGGAAACCACCCGCCCTCAATCCGTGAAACCCTCGCACATTAATATAACGAATGTGCGCGGCGCTGGGGCGAGAACCATATTTTGAAAGCGACCCGCCCTCCATCCGTGAAACTGTTGCCACTTTTTGAGCTTCAGAGTCATGAGTGGTGAGGAAGTCTCAGGCGAAACGCCGGGCCCGTCCTAACATCTGGCCTCGGGGTACGACAGGAAGGAGTTATCTATAAGGAAAAAGAATGGAGGATGAGGAGGAAATGGAATAGGAGGAGGAGGAGGAGGAAGAATAAGACGAAGAAGAGGAAGAGGAGGAGGAGGAGCAGGAGGAGGAGCAGGAGAAGGATGATGAGGAGGAGCAGGAGGAGGAGGAGGAAGAGGAGGAGGAGGAGGATCAGGAGGAGGGGAAAGGGAAGAGGGAATGAGGAGGAGGAGGAAGAGTAGGAGGAGGAGGAGGAGGAAGAGGAGAAGGAGGAGGAGGAGGGAGGGGAGACGGAGGAAGGGAGAAGGAGACGGGGAGGAGGAGGAGGAGGACGAAAAGGGAGGAGGAGGAGGAGGAGGAGGAGGAGGGAGGAGGAGGGGAGGAGGAGGTGGAGGAGGAGGAGGCGGAGGAGGAGGAGGGGGGGAGAGGAGGAGGAGGAGGAAGAGGCGGAGACTGAGGCGGAGGCGGCGGAGGCAAAATTGTTCGGCGGAGGAGGAGGAGGACGAGGAGGAGGAAGAGGAGGGGCGGGATGAGGATGAGGAGGAGGCGGCGGATGAGGAGGAGGATGAGGAGGAGGAGGAGGAGGAGGAGGAAGAGGAGGAGGAGGAGGAGGAGGAGGAGGAGCAGGAGGAGGAGGAGGAGGAGGAGGAGGAGGAGTTGGAGGCGGAGGCGGAGGAGGAGGAGGGGGATGAGGCGGAGGCGGAGGCGGAGGAGCAGGAGGAGGAGGAGGAGGCGGAGGAAGATGCGGAGGCGGAGGAGGAGGCGGAGTCGGAGGAGGAGCAGGGTCTCTGAGGGGCTCTGATGAGACCAGCCGTTCAATGACCGCTGGCATGCAAGCCGAGGCAGCCGCAACGGGCCGCCATGCCGAGCACTGAGCCCGACGACACTGGCAGCCCCGCCTATGCCGAGCAGCGGATGCCGAACCCGAGGGCCCAGCGACAATCTGCTGGCAGGCTGCCCGCCAGTGCCCCTGCTGTCTGAGGCCAGCAGGGGCAATGGCAAGGCGCCCACGCCGCCGCACGAGCCGCAGCTCGGCGGAAGCACAAGTATGTCGAACAGCGCCCGGCAGCGGCGACCCGCCAGGGGCGGAAGGCCGGCCCGGAGGCCGAGGCGAAGCCAGCAGGCGACGAGGAGTGCGGCGGGGCACCTCAGCGCGACCTGCAGGCACGAGGCACCTCACCAGTCGGCGGCCACGGCACGCATCGCCCTGACCCCTTCCGTGGCCTTCGCCTTGTCCGAGCTGCTGCCCGAGTCACAGAGGAGGGCCCAGCACTTTTTCCTAGCCTCTCTCGGTAGCGTTCGCCGGTCAACTCGTCGCCGTCCTTGGCACCGGCTACGGTGCTGTCGGTGACGACGTCCGGCTCGACATCCGAGGAGGGCCAGGGCGGCACCGCAGGCAGGTCAGGGATGCCGCTCGTGAACACCTCGTCGTCGTCGAGATCGTAGACGTCAGAGCCCAAGTCTCCGCCTCCGACGTGGCCGTAGATCTGGAGAGGGAAAAACACTCAGACACAATGAATTGTCGATCCCTAGGAAAATATGGGAAAATATGGGAAGTGGGGGGGAAGACAAAAACCTAGAAAATACGTGAAAATATGGGGAATCTTTTTATTTGTGCGTATTTATTTGTGTGTCCTGGGGCCCCTTTAGTGGAGCCCTGCGCCCACAGGATTCGGCCCGTGGTCCTTCGCCTCGTCCTCCCCGTTGTCCGTGCCATGGCCCAGCGTGTCGAGGCCCCAGAAGACGCTCTGCTCGGCGACACCATTGCCCGTGAAGTTCTTGAAGTCGTAAGCGTTCCCGCCAGTGGAGACACAGCCGCGGTCACGGACGACCTGGCGCCTCCACAACATGAACGCGTAGTCCAGCACGTTCCTGCAGTAGTGAGGTCCATCCTCTACTTGATCTCCGCATCGACCTGGGCGATCAGGCTCTCCACCAAAGCATCCCTGTCCTGCTGGCGGGACCACCTGTTCTTCTTCGTCTTGGGAGGCACCATCTCCGATGTGGAAGCAGCGGGGTGAGAAGTCAGAACGCTGTCCTGCCTGCGCTCCAGCACCGACTGCGCGAAGCACTTGTTCTCCTACTGCAGCCGGCAACTGGTCGCCCTGAGAGTGTCCCTCTCTGCGGTCAGCCTCGGCGGAGGAGGAGGAGGAGGAGGAGGAGGAGGATGAGGAAGAACAGGAGGAGGACGAGGAGGAAAAGGAGGAGGAGGAGGAGGAGGAGGAGGAGGAGGAAGAGGGGGCGGCGGAAGAGTAGGTGGAGGAGGAGGCAGAGGAGGAGGAGGAGGAGGAGGAGGAGGAGGAGGAGGAGAAGGAGGAGGAGGAGGAGGAGGAGGACGAAGGGGAAAATCAGTTGGAATATCCGATGTTGGGAATACCCCTCCCTCCAAGTTTCCGCGCCATAGGCCCCTGTAACGGTTCATTTCCATTGAGGGAACTGCCTCGTTGGAAGACAACCGGTTGAAGTCCTTGCAGCATGCCGACACATTGCTTTCGGGATTTCAGCGCCACGAATCAACTTGATTGTTGCGTCTTGACAATCCTGAATCGCGCCAGAACGCCGTTCCTGGGACTTCAACACCGCGAATCAATGTAATTGTTGCGCCCTCAGAATCCTGAATCTTTCCAGGGCGCCACTTCTGGTACGCTGATCATGTGAATCCGTGAAGATCTTGCAAAAGACAAAAATGAATGTGCGCGGTGCTTAGGCGAGAGCCACATTTGGAAAGTGACCCGCACACAATCCGTGGAACCCTGGCAACTTTTTAGAACGAATGAGCGCGGCGCTCAGGCGAGAGCCACATTGTGAAAACGATTCGTCCTCAACCCGTGAAACTCTTGCACATGTTTGAAACGAATGTGCGCGGCGCTACGGCGAGAGTCACACTGTGAAAACGACCCGCTCTCCATCTGTGAAACTGTTGCCATTTCTGAAGCTTCAGGGCCATCAGCGGTGAGGAAGTCTCAGGCGAACCGCTTGGCCCGCCCTAAAAACGGGCCTCGGGGTGCGACAGGGAGAAGTTGCTTATAAGGAAAAGGAATGGAGGAAGAGGAGGAAGAGGATGAGAAGGAGGAGCATGAGGAGGAGGAGGAGCATGAGGAGGAGGAGGCGGAGGAGGATGAGGAGGAGGAGGAGGACGAGGAGGCGGAGGAGGATGAGAAGGAGGAGGAGGGGCGGGGGAGGAGGAGGAGGAGGGGGAGGATGAGGAGGAGGACGAGGAGGAGGAGGAGGAGGAGGAGGAGGAGGAGGAGGACGAGGAGGAGGAGGAGGAAAAGGAGGAGGAGGAGGAGGAGGAGGAGGAGGAGGAGGAGGAGGAGGAGGAGGAGGAGGAGGAGGACTGGCGGAGGAGGGCGTAGGAGAAGGACATGCGATGATGGATAGGGCATTCGGTGGTTTCGGTGGTTTCTCGAGGTCTTCGACTTTCGTCTGTGGTCTCCGATCGTGTTGGAGGTTCTCGGAGGTTTCCTGAGGCTGGGAGCTTGGGGCGGGAGAGGGCGGTTGGACAATCGAAGTGCACTTGCGCCATACCAGACATCCTACCCCTCCCACCCATCCTTTCCCGTTGCGCTGATTTTTTTGGGCCGCCGACGTGTGTCATAGCAGATCCTGGCCCTCCCCAGATGACCCACTCGCGGTCCATCGCGTTAAGCGCAAGCACACATTGGGACCTGTGTACGTTGGAGGAGGTGGAGAGGAAGTGGAGGATGTGCAGGAGGCTGAGAGGAGGATGGTTAGGATAATGAGGATGAGGAGAAGGAGAAACAACCGCAGCAGCAGGAGCAGGGGTAGGAGGAGCAGGAGGAGCCGGACGACCAAGGGAAGACGGAGGAGGGGAAAAAGAGGCGACAAGGATTTTGAGTGATTCCGATCCAGAAATCAGGCACGCGCTGGGGCGAGATAAATAATCGTTCTGAGCTACGGTAGCAAAGCGCCTATCCTGAGAGGAGGCCAACGCCGCAGCGGGAACATTTCGAAACTCCGGAAACAATCGGAATGACATGACTTCAGGAGGATCTTTTTCGTTGTAAGGACTAGCTTCTTTCGTTGTAAAAGTGATGGAATCATCTCACACAAGACTTGCCACGGGTATCTGCATTTGCTTAGCGTCTGTCTGTTTAGCGGGGCAGAAATTGTCCGCCCAGGCCGGCGCTTACAGCAAGCAGCAACAGACTTGTGGCAGCACCATCGGAACCTCGCGTTTGATCTTCACTATCCTCCCTTCAAAGAGCGGGAACGATCTGAATGGAACTACGCACACGCACGCGAAATTTCAATTTCTGAGATCTTGCGTGTGAGAACTGGACAGGCTCGGGAGACAGAGAGAGAGAGAGGAGAGAACAGTGCTGTTGATGATGAGGACGAGAAGGAGGTTTTACGTATCAGGAAGAGGAGAGGATGGGGCAGGCCGAATCTCAATGGCCACCTTGGTTTGCGCCCCCCTGAGGCCACGAAAACAGACGTGGTGGTTGCGGGCATCCTCGACCGGGGAGACATGCACCTGCCCGAGCCGTCCGTGTGGGACGACGGGGCGGTGAACCCCCCTGACCAAGCCTGCAAAGAGAGGGCTACGCAGAAAGAAGGCAGGTTCGGGTCCTATACGGTCGGATCAAGGTACGAGATTGAGGTCGGTGTGGGGAGGGTGCCCCAATCTTCTTCGTGCTTGTTGGATGCCATTGTGCATCCTGGGGGAGGGTGCCCTGGAGTGTTTTCAGTTTGGGCCAGCGGAGGGTATCATGTTTTCGAAGGATGTGGTTCTTTCTCAGGTCCAGCCTTAGTTGTCTAAGAATCGGTTCCTGGCTTCGAAGGATGCTGGCCACTCTGCTACAAGCAGAGAAGGAAAAAGGAAAAGGGAAAGGAGGACTGAGGACAGGAATGAGGAGACAAGACGTTCCCGCTCCAGGGCGATACCACGTACCAGTGAGTGCGACGACCTCGAGTTGATTCCGGCCACACGAGTAGGGCGACGAGATCTATGCATATCCACTGCTCCTGGCCAGGCCAATCCTGGGCCCAGGAGCGGTGTATACGCCCTCCTGGCCTGGCCAGGGAGGCATATACACAGCTCCTGGGCCCAGGATGGGCCTGGCCAGGAGCAGTGGATATGCATAGATCTCGTCGCCCTAACGAGGGCAGCTTTACCAGATGATCGAAGAGCTCCTCAGTGCAAGCTCTGCTTGGGGAAGAAGGCAGCAGGACCAGTCGGGCGAGTGGCGCGCAGACCCCACGAGTCAAGGCATCGGGACGGCGAGAGTCCCACTCCTCCTCCTCCTCCTCCTCCTCCTCCTCCTCCTCGCACGCGAGAATCCCAGGGCGCCACCAGGGCGGCGGAACTTTCCCAGTGACGTGCAGTCGGAGCCCTGAAGAAGGAACCCTTTTCGTTGGGGAGGGGCTCGGTGTCCTTGATTGTTTTACAGCTTGCCTCGGGTTCCCCTTAGGTTTTTGTACGGGAAGTCGAAGTTTAACTTATGGAAAAGAGGGGCCTCTTTCCTTATTTAGGGTTCCTTAGGTCAACGCCCCGACTGTACCAAACACAGTCCCAACGACCCAGGGGGCACTAGCTGGGGGCTTGTGACTCGCCAGCGGGAGTCCTCACCGGGCCAGGGCAACGAGTGCCAGTCGGGGGAAGCGGGGCTACAGTCGGGGCGCTGCAGAAGGAACCCGTTTCGTTTGGGAGGGGCTCGGTGTTCCTTGATTGTTTCAAAGTTTGCCTCGGGTTTTTCTGAGGTTTTCCATGGGAAATCGAGGTTGAACTTATGGGAAAAAGGGGCCTCGTTCCTTACTTAGGGTTCCTTAGGTCAACGCTTCGACTGTAGTCGGAGCAAGCGATGCATTAACGAACATCCCAACGATCGATGGCAATCGGGCTGGTCGGGAGTTGCCGAGCTAGTGACTTACGAATTCAAATATGCCAGACTTGGAGCCAGGGCAGTGGAACTAGCCAGGACTAGTGATGCAGTGGCGCGGATTCCGACGCGCCAGGGCTACGTTCCCAGTCGGGGCTGGCTGGGCCCGGCAACGCCCATGGGAGGGAGAACCTTGCCGGACTAGGGCAAATGGTCTAGTGAGAATCATCCGGTGCCCGTGGCATCCCAAAATATGAGGTCAACGGGGCTAGCCGGGGCTAGCGGGGGCCAGTGATGCACCAGCGGAAATCCCAACAGGGCTATTGGACGTTTTCGTGTCCAGCCAGGACCGTTGGCACACCAATGAAACTCCCAACGAATTAGGGCAACGAGTCCAGTGGGTCTGACCCGGGACCCCTCCCCCCATACCCCTCCCAGGACCCATTCCCCCCAGCATGGAAGGGATATATAGAAGGGAATCGATCCAATTTCAACTTTCCTTTTCCTTGTTTCCTTGTTCCTTGGTTTCCTTGGGGCTGGCGACGACGACGACGAAGGCGACGACGACAACGATCACGACGACGGCGGCGGCGGCGGCGGCGACGACGACGACGACGAGAATGGAAAAGCGTCTCACACATTGCGAAGGGCCAGTGGCTTTTCCTCAGGACGCTACCCTGTTTATCTTTCACCCCTGCGTCGGCCCCCTGGTGTCCTTGGTGCAGATCCTGATGTGGACTCTCAATGCTTTCCTCCAGCTTTACTTCTGCTACATCGTGCGTGAGCATATGCTGACCCCCGACGTGAGCGGTGACGTCCTGAACGGCTTGCTACGGTTCCGTCTCGGGGCTGGGCACGCCGTAAAATTTGCCGACCGCGTTGCGAGAAAGTCCTTGGCAGCACAGGTTTGCGGCAGCGACATCAAGCTGCACATGTCTGGAACGCAGCTGCAGGCCGCAACCGATATTGGCAATTTTCTGCAAGGAGGGGAACCGCTTATGCTCCTCGCGCAGTTCCTCTGGTTGTGCACTGTTCTCAAGGAGTTGAACCATACTTTCTCATTCACCCGTGCGTTGCTGCACTTGCCTCGCGGCGGGGTCACCAATGTCGTAATAGTAGACAGCGACGGCTGCGACGACGTGACTAATCTGACAACCGACGATGCCAGGGGTGATGCTCTTGTCGCCATTTCGGTGGTGACGCGCATCACTACCATCAACAGGCTTCGTCTATGGGCAGCAGTGGGCTTTATCGCCTTGCCTCGGCTCGTCATTGCTTCGGTCCTCGGCCTCGTCGGAGTTCTCTTTCTGGGCAAGACCTCCAAGATGGAGGACCTGCTCCTCAATGCCATCGCGCTGGCGTTCGTGTACGACATCGACGACCTGCTGTTCCAAGTTTTCGCGCCACGACGCCTCCACACCCTCTTTGCCAACCTGGAGCCCCTGCAGATGGCGAGCGGCGGGCGCCCCCGGCTCAAGGGGGCTCACTCCATCGGGAAAGCGCTGCTCGCCGGCGGCCTGCTCCTGGCCGTCTACGTGTCCCTGCTGGAGCCGTTCTTCTGGATGCTCAGGCAGGCCCACGACGTGATGTGCACGGGGGAGCAGAACTTCGTGTTCGCGGTGAACCCGGCCTCGGGCATGATGCACGTCGCAAAGTCCTCGACGAGCGTTGAGTGGACCGAGCACGAGCGAGCTATCATAATGGTGGCACGGCCCGATATTGCGGCGAAACACGGGTGGGATGTCGATGCCAAGCTGGTTGCGCTGAGCTCCTCCGACGCGGCTGCCATTGCCGTTGTGCTGCCGACAGCGGACTCGATCTCCGAGGCGGCCTATGGCCCGGACTACTTCGACACCATTCTGGACATGGACGTCTGGGACGTCGAGGACGGGGCGGAGCAGCTGGTGTGCAAGGACCTGGGCTCTGGCCAGACCCGCGAAGCTACGCTGCTTCATCTGAGGGCGCTGACGGGCAACCGCAGCCTCGCTGGCTGCGACGACGTACCCTGGCAGAGCTGTGCCCAGCTGGACAGCGTCCAGCTCAGGGCCACCTGCCCTATGAGGTGCAACTGTCACAAGGCTCCCACGAATGCCCCCGGGTACTCTGGCATTTTCCGCCGTCCCGCCAACGGCTGCCCTTCGCAGTGCACCAGCCTGACGGCCTCGTTCAACGAGATCCTCTACATGACGGGCTCGCTGGAGGAGGACGAGGGTGCGCAGCACTGCAAAGACCTGCGCGCCGAGGAGTTCGTGCACGCGGGCGGCTGCGTAGACACAGATCAGTTTGCGGGCAGCCCTGGCCCTGGTTTCAATGCGGCAGGCCGCCCCTGCTCGTCATATAAGGAATTCATGGAGAGCGATATGTTGGATTGTCCAGCCGATCTTGACGACGACGACTTCACCGCGAGCCAGATGTGTTGTGCTTGCGGCGGCGGGGTTGTATCGAACCGCGACTCGGTGAGCTGCCTCCTCAACCTGACGGACGACTGTGCGAACATGAACCTTAGAGCATTTTGGTTCCTATTGTATATCAAGGGTTTATTTCAGCATCTCCTGTCGAACCAGTTCTTCTCAATAAGCGTGGAGAGCATTGTTAACCACGTGTCCAAGATAATCGGGGAGGGGCCCAGCCAGAACAGTAGCCTAGTGGCGTGGGTCACCAGTGGGAGGATGGCGGAGTCTTTGCTAAATGGGAAGTGGGAGTTCATGCCAGACATGAGGCACCCGCGCGATCTGAAGGGGTGTGATTTCCTGACATCCTACGAGTTCAAAGCTCTCCTCAACGTGGACGTCTGCAGCTCGGAGTCCTACAGTTCCTTGAAGTTTCTGTGCCCAGTTTCTTGTGGCTGCGCCTCCAGCATGTTCGAAAACAATTTCAGCGATCCCCCATTCTTCGAAGATTGGGGGTCGATGCCTCCAGACCGGCGGAAGGTGCTGCAGTTCACCAATGACAGGACCAACATGGGAGAGTGTCCCAGCGAGTGCGTCTTGCCGCACCCTCTCATCAGTGGGGATAGTGCCTGGAGCAGCTTCTCCCAGCGCTTTGACGATGACTACTTCGGGTACTACGATGACTCCTAAGAGCCACGAAGGTGGCTCACCGTTACTTCCACCTCGTTGATCGTGATGGCGGTCCCTGGCTTTGTCACCTCCTCCTCCTCCTCATCTTCGTACTCCCCTTCTCACGCCCTTCGTTATTCTTCCCCACGTTGCCCTCATTTCTCTCCCCCTCCTCTTGCACTTTCCAATTGGTTCCCTCTGCAGCTCTTTCTCCTCCTACTCCTCCTCCTGGGCACAGCCTGGCGTCGGACAGAGTCTGTCCACCGTGACGAAGTGCAGAGGCAGGTTGCGCACTCCCCTTTGATCGGGGCCACTTTCGCCACTGTATGCACACAGACGCGAAGCGTCACGAGGAGGAGGAGGAGGAGGAGGAGGAGGAGGAGAAGCAGGACCAGGAGCAGGAGCAGGAGCAGGAGGAGGAGGAGGAGGAAGAAGAGGAGGAACGAGGAGGAGCGAGGAGGAGCGAGGAGGAGGAGGAGGAGGATCAGGAGGAGGAGGGGGAGGAGGAGGAGGATACGTAGGACAAGTGTAAACCCAAGACTCACCAACGATGTTGGAATCTACCCTTCCTCCAAGCTTTCTCTTCATAGGCCCCTACAAGAGTTCTTGCCCACTGAGGGAACTGCTTCGTTGGGGGATAACCGTTTGAAGACCCTGGAATATGCCAACACACCATTCTCGGGACTCCAACATCACGGATCGACCTGATTGTTGCGTCTTGACGATCCTGAATTGTGCCAGAACGCCGTTTCTGGGACAACACCGCGAATCAACGTAACTGTTAAACACTCACAATCCTGAAGCCTTCCAAACCCCGCTTCTCGTACGCTGCCATGCGAATCCGTGACGCTCTTGCACTTGTTTGAACGAATGTACGCGGCGCTCAGGCGAGAGCCACATTTTGAAAACGAACCGCCTTCAATCCGTGAAGCTCTTGCATGTCTTACTTAACAAGACGACTATGCGCGGCGCTAAGACGAGAGCCACATTTAGAAAACCGCCCGCCCTTCACTGGTGAAACTCTTGCAGTTTTTTCGTGTAAGAAGCGATTTGCGCAGCGCTAAGGCGAGAGCCACATTTAGAACACCGTCTGCCCTCCATAGGTGAAGCTCTTGCAGTATTTTAGAAATGCGCAGCGCTAAGGCGAGAGCCACATATAGAAAACCGCCCGCCTTCCATTTGCGAAACTCTTGCAACATTTTTCAAGCAGAATGCGAGCGGCGCTAAAGCGAGAGCATCATGTTGGCAGTGGCCCGCTTTCCACTTGAGAAACTGTTGCCATTTTTGAAGCCTCAGGGTCATAAATGGTGAAGAAGTCTCAGGCTAAACGCCAGGCCCGCCCTTTCGACCGGTCTCGGGGTGCGACAGGGAGGAGTTATTTATAAGGAAAAAAGGTTGAAGGAGGAGGAGGAGGAGGTGGAGGAGGAGGAGGAGGAGGAGGAGGAGAAGGGGGAGGAGGAGGAGGAGGAGGAGGAGGAGGAGGAGGAGGAGAGGGAGGAGAAGGAGGGGAGGAGGAGGAGGAGGAGGAGGAGGAGGAGGAGGAGGAGGAGGAGGAGGAGGAGGATCAGGAGCCGGAGGAGGAGGAGGAGGAGCAGGAGGAGGAGGAGGAGGCGCGAACGAAGAGCATTGATGAGGAGTGAAGAGGGCGATGAGGAGCGATGAGGAGTGAGGAGGAGCAGGAGGAGGAGGATGAGGAGGGATGGACGGACGGACGGACGGATGGATGGATGAATAGATAGATTGATTTATGGATAGATGGATGGATTGGACAATGACGAAGTCATTTTAAACACTACTCTTCCCTGAGCTTTCTCAGTGACTCGACGAACAAGGAGTCGAAGGACGGGAAACAGTCCAGACCAAACGCACGATGGGTCCACCATAATTTCAGCAGATCAGAAAACCACCAATCCAGTGAGCAGGTCCCTCCACACGGTACGCCAGCGACGGAAGAAGACTGAACACACATCCAACCTGAACGTCACCGAACAAGTAGTTGCCGCAAGGCTGCCCTTCAAATTTTGAATAGCAACTACCAACTTGACGTGACGGCCAGAGGCCCAGCAAAATGCTGAGCGAAAATTGCACCGCTCAACTCTGCTTGCATTCTGCCGATCCCGAGCTTCCACGCAGAGCACTGGCGTCGCGGAGAAGCCGTGCAGCTCGTCGCTGGCCGCCCATCGCTCGAATGCCGACGAGGCAGGGGTGGCCTCTGCCATCGCCGTCCCGAGCTCGCCCAACAACGATCCGACGTCTGACTGAGCTCCAGCGGCTCCAGCACCTCCAAGCAGAGAGAGGGCTTTGGCAGGAATGTCGGCGCCGACACGAGGCGCATCTTCCCCACTCGCAGCCTTACCTAGACGGTCGGCCCGATCCACGGCACCGGGAAGATCGGCTGGGCTGCCCACTGCTGCTGCTGCCTCGGTGGAGACCTCCACGGCGCCGACGGGACCCTGGCTGCACGCCGCTTCCTTCCGCGCTCGGAGCCTCCGCGGCCACGTCGGCAGCCGGGGCAGGGGGCAGGCTGCTTCCCCGGCGGCGCCGCGGCCGCCTCCGCCGCATCGAGGGCAGCCGTCCCCCGCAGGGGCCCCGCGGGGGGGGGGGGGCGGAGCGGCTCCGCTTGGCGCCCCGAGACGCCCGGCGCCGCGCGAGGCGCCTGGGCCAGGCCGCTCGGGCCCTGGCCGCGGTGGCGCTCGACGGCGGCGAGCGCTCGCAGCAGCCGCCCGGCAGCCCGCGCGGCCGCGCGGCTGTACGGGGCCCTGCGCTCGGCGGCGGTCTGGCTCGGCCGGCGAGGCCGCCGCCACCGGGGCAGGCGTCGTGCCGCGGCGGCGAGGGGGGAGAGGCGCGAAGGGAGGGCGAGGGCGGCGCAGGGGCGCCCGGGAGGAAGAGCAGCAGGAGGAGGAGGAGGAGGAGGCGGAGGAGGAGGAGGAGGAGGAGGCGGAGGAGGAGGAGGAGGAGAAAGAGGAGGAGGAGGAGGAGGAGGAGGAGGAGGAGGAGGAGGAGGAGGAGGAGGAGGAGAGGAGGAGGGGGAGAAGGATGATGAGGAGAAGGAGGAGGATGAGGAGGAGGAGGAGGAGGAGGAGGAGGAGGAGGAGGAACGAATGAAGAGCAGTGATGAGGCGTAAAGAGGCTCGACGAGGAGCGATGAGGAGCGAGGAGGAGGAGGAGCGAGCGAGGAGTATCAGGTAAGACTATTGCGTAGCAGTAGGAGAAAATGGAGGAGGGGGAATGCGGTTGATGATTGTAGATCTTCTGCTCAGGACATCCCCTGGCATTGCTGGCGGGTGCTGCCATAGCAGCTTCCTAGCTAGATCTTCAACTTTTTCGTGCAGCAGCTGTTCGCTGGCAGCTACCCTACCTGCTATTGTTTAGCACCGCTGCCAGCCTGGTTCTGCCATTGCCCGTGGCCACTTCGGATCCTGCTTTCCCCCTGTTGACGACGTCGCTTCTTCCTCCTCGCCCTTGGCAGCGTTGAGTCCTCCTGCCTGTCCTGCTCCCCCTCGAAACCTGTTGCCGGCGCCTCCTCCCGGCGCTGGCGAAGGATGTGTTTCTTCCCCGATCACTCCTCACTCCCCCATGTTCTCCTTATCCATCCGCCCTGCCTCCCTCCTTTTCCCTCGCCGTTCCTATTGCCCCCTTCCTGTCTCCACTCTTCCCTCCTCCATCCCTCCCTCCCTCCTCCCTCGCTCCCTCCTGCCCTCCCTCCCTCCCTCCCTTCCCCCTGTGATCGCACAGACCTCCCTCCCCTCCGCTTCTTGCTCCTCTCGCCTCCCCTCACTGTTCCCCCCTCCCCTGCCCCGATCCCCCCCCTCCCTTACCTGCCTCTCTTTCCAACCCCACCCCACCCACCCCGCCCGCCTCCCTCCCTCCCTCCCTCCTTGCCCCCCCAGCCCCCCCCCCCCCGCGCCGCTCCCGGGCGCGCGGGGGCGCGCGCTTGCGTGCGGCGCAGAAAGGAAGGGAGAGGAGCGACGAGGGAGGAGGCAAGCGAGGCGCGCTCGCGCCACGTCTGACATCCCTGGTCCCCCCGCCCCTCCACCTGCTTATTTCGATTCCTCCGATTCGATCCGATTTCGATGGCTTCCGATTCCCATTCGGTTCGACTTCGGACTTAGATTCGGGCTCCGATTTCTCAATGGAGGCCTACTCGCCTGCCGACGTCTGTCGACTCGACCTGTCCTGACTCGGCTGCTGATTCCCGCCGATCGATTCATTTCGATTGCCGATCCGACCTTTCGATTCTGGGATTTCGATTGCCGATCCGACCTTTCGATTCGATTCTGGGCTCGCCTGCCCCTCCCGCCTCCCGCCCATCCCTTCCCATGGCGCTGCTCTGTTCTTTCCACTGGCGCGTGGCTTAGCGAGTCTGGGATTCCAATAGGGGCCCCAGCGTGTCGAGCACCCTAGGAGGGAAGCGGAATTGCGTGTACACTGGAGGAGGGCGGGGGCGGCAGGTGAACAGGAGGGTGAGCGGGAGGAGCATGCGGATGCTGAGGAAGGAGGAGGGCGAGGGCGAACAGCAGCAGCAGGAGCTGCAGTGGAAGGAGCAGGAGGAGCAGGATGGCCAGGGGAATGCGGAGGAGGGGAAATGAAGGGGGCGACACCAATGAAACTGTGATCCAGAAAGCTGGTCCGCGCTGGGGCGAGAGCGCCATTCTGAACGACGGGAGCAAACGCGCCAATCCGACACTGAGGCCCACGCTGAGGCGGGACACCAATGTGAACCACCGAAAGCAGTGAGATTGTGGATACTATTTAGAAGCCACGTTTCGAAACCCTGTGTGCAGAAACTAATACGCGTAGAGGGCCGAACATCTTCGGACAAATCATGGGCGACGAGGAGAGTAGTATTCATAATGTCTAGTTGTAGAGGAGGCCACGGGAGAACGAGGGAATAAGAAGGAGGAGGAGCAGGACAGAGGGAGGGAGGGTGTCGGAATGGCGGACGGGAGACATGATGATGTTGCAGCTGATGATGATGGGGATGATGGTGCTGATGATGCAGATGCTGATGATGCTGGTGATGAGGGTGATGATGCTGATGATGATGACGATCGATGACGACGATGGCGATGATGATGATGACGATGATGATGATGATGATGATGATGATGATGATGATGATGATGATGATGCTGATGCTGATGCTGATGCAGATGATGATGCTGATGATGCTGATGATGCTGATTAGGATGCCGATTATGATGAATCTGATGATGGTGATGGTGCTGATGGCCATGGTGCTGCTGCTGCTGATGATGATGATGCTGGCGATCATGATGAGGATGATGATGGTGGTGGTGCTGAAAAGGATGGTGACGCTGATGAAGGTTGTGGGAATGGTGCCGCTGATGATGATGTCGATGCTGATGATGATGCTGCTGTTGATGCTGATGGTAATGGTGATGCTGACGATTGCGATGCTGATGCCCATGATGGGCGAATGATGATGATGATGCTGTGATGATGGTGATGGTGATGGTGATGGTGATGGTGATTATGCTGATGACGATGGCGATCATGATGATGATGATGATGATGATGCTGATGATGCTGATGATGATGATGAGGAGGATGCTGATTATGATGATGATGATGATGATGCTGATGATGATGATGATGATGATGATGCTCATGATGATGATGATGATGATGATGACGATGCTGTCGGTGCCTAGTCGTTGGCGTTTATGCTGTCCTGGCCGACTCCGCTCCTCTGCCTGCAACGCTCTAGCCACATGGTGATGCTGACGATGATGATGGTGATGATGAGGATGGTGGAGAAGACATTTATGACGGTTATGAGGCTGATGGTGATGCTGCTGATGATGGCGATGGGGAGGCTGATGATGATGACGCTGATGGCTGATGATGATCATGGGGATGGTGCTGCTGATGATAATGCTGATGATGCTGTTGTTGATGATGCGGACGGTGGCGACGACCATTATGATGATGTTGATGATGATGATGCTCATGCTGATGCTGACGATGATGATCATGATGATGCTGATTATGTTGCTGCTGAATATGATGCTACTGCTGATGTCGATGAGGATGGCGACGATGATGATGCTGATGACGCTGATGATGATGATGATTATGCTGATGATGATGATGATGATGATGATGATGATGTTGAGCATGGTGATGACGACTATGATAATGATGATGCTGCTGATGCTGATGCTGATGATGATGGTGTTGCAGCTGATGCTGCTGGCTGCTGACTGCTGCTGCTGCTGATGAGGAGGAGGAGGATGATGATGACGATACTGATGATGCTGATGATGATGCTGATGATGATGGAGGTTATGAGGATGCTGATGATCATGATGAGGCTGCTGCAGATGCTGCTGCTGCTGCTGATGATGAGGATGATGATGATGCTGATGATGATGATGATGATGATGATGATGATGATGATGATGATGATGAGGCTGATGATGCTGATGCTGATGCTGCTGATGATGATGATGATGATGAGGAGGAGGAGGAGCAGAAGGAGGAGCAGGAGGAGGAGGAGGAGGAGGAGGAGGAGGGTGAGGAGGAGGAGGAGGAGGAGGAGGAGGAGGAGAAGGATGAGGAGGAGGAGAAGGAGGAGGAGGAGAAGGAGGAGGAGAGAAGGAGGACGGGAGGAGGAGGAGGAGGAGGAGCAGGATGAGGAGGATGAGGAGGAGGATGTGGAGGAGGAGGAGGAGAAGGAGGAGGAGGAGGAGGAGGAGGAGGAGGAGCATGAGCAGGATGAGGAGGAGGAGGAGGAGGAGGAGGAGGAGGAGGAGGAGGAGGAAGAGGAGGAAGACGGGGAGGAGGAGGAAGAAAAGGAGGAGGATGAGGAGGAGCAGCAGCAGCAGCAGCAGAAGCAGCAGCAGCAGCAAAAGAAGGATACATCGGCGCTCCGAAAGTTTATTCCGATTTGAGAGGCACGACGCCGCGCGAATGCAGCGCAAACGCAATGCTTGGAGGGAGCGACAATGCATGCCCCCTGGACGCACGAGAGCAGCCGCGCCCGCGCGCGAACCCCGATCCCGCGCGGGGCGCGTTCCCGTTGACAATGCCTCACCCGGGACACAGTTTATTGCGCAGGAAGTCCTGAGCGGTCTGCCCATCGGCGGCTCCTTAGGACGAGGCCCGGACCCACCGAGAAACCGTTTTTGATAGGAAGTTTTAGGCGGTTTGCCCATGCTCGGTTCGTTCGGAGCGGGCCCGAAGACCTCGATAATGATGTTTTTACACGGAGTCCTAGGCGGTTTGCACATTTTCGGGCCGTTCGAACCGGACCCGAATTTTTGTTTGGGCGCAAGTCCTATGGGATTTGGCCACTTTCAGGTCGGCCGATAAACTTTTCGGGTCGGCGCATGACCGAACCCGAAAGCTTTTGTCGATGAGTTCCTATGCCGTTTGCTCATTTTCGGGTCAGTACACCGTTTGGGATTTAAAATTGTAAATAGGGAAGGGGAACCCGATCCCGCGACCCCGGGCGGAGGGGAGGCTCTGCCCTTGCATTGTACTGGGCCCCTCCGGCCAAATGGGGCGTTGGGCTGCCCATCGGCGCGCCGACTCTGCCCTCGCGACATCGCCACCATCCGCCCTGGGGCCCCGCGAGTCTTGTCCCGCGCGCGCCACCCCAGATGGCCGCGGCCGGCACGGCGGCGAAATTGGGGAAAGTTTCGGATCGGCGCAGTATCCTCCTTCAGAAGCCTCCAAAAGGTCTCCAGAAGGTCCATCAGCCTCCAGCGGTCTTTGGAGGAGGACGAGGAGGACGAGGAGGAGGATGAGGATGAGGAGGAGGAGGAGGAGGAGGAGGAGGAGGAGGAGGAGGAGGAGGAGGAGGAGGAGGAGGAGGAGGAGGGAAGGAGGAGGAGAGGAGGAGGAAGAGGAGGAGGAGGAGGAGGAGGAGGACGACGAGGTGGAGGAGAGGAACGGGAGGAGGAGGAGGAGGAGGAGGAGGAGAAGGAGAGGGAGGAGGAGTAAGGAGGAGGAGGAGGAGGAG